CGGAGTCTCAAATCCGATGCGGTAGTTAGTTGAATTCGTAGCGAAGGTACCGTATTCTTGGCAGACACCGTCGCCGCAGGACGCTGTGCAAACGCGAGGTATATACAAAACAAATGTCAGCATTGCATACCCAAGCGACACTGTCGTTTGTTCATAAGTCATGTTTATTATTCTGTATCTGTCAAAGTGCTTCATATCAAAAGCAACACACGCTGACTAAATACATTTACAAAATGACACTGAGCACACATACACTTACCTGTAATGTGTGTGCAGTCGTCGGCGCACGTCCAACCATTTTCACCATCCTCACACACCCCGTTACCACAGTTGAAAGTGCACTCGCAGTCTTGTGGGCAATTGCGGCACCATTCACCTTCACCACAGATGCCATCACCACACAGCGCAGACCACTCGGACCAAGGAATCACCAAGTCCTCGAATATCTGCCAATCCGGCCTCATTTCTGCAATTTCATCCTGTAGTGAACATCAAACATCATTCATTAGTTATTTTAGCATCAATGTTTTGATGCATAAGAAGAGGGCTTTTCAACGCAATGTTTGTTGAGATGCATATAACATAATTGACGACGTAGTCAATACTGAGACAATCGAGCTCTGCTATCCGGAAAGTATAAAATGTTGGTGGTATCTCAATACTCGTAGTACGACTCATAGTACTAGCAAATATAGTGTATTTGTATATAAAAAGACCCTCTTAAAAAGTCTGCACTCCTACTCACAGCGGTGTACTTGGCAGGAGGTAGATATCCGTCAATGAATCGATCTCCATCTACGGCCACGGCTGTTGAAGAATCGCTATCTGCAGCAACACTACTACCTGTAGTGGTGTCATCACTTGCAGCGGTGCCATCACTACTTGTAGTGGAACCATCACTATTCGCACTGGTGGTTGATTGCGATGAATCTCCACTGTCTCCTGCGATAGCTGGGTCGGGTGTCGTTGTATCCTCCTCGAGTTGCACTACATTGCTGGAATCGCCTTCCGATAGCCCCTGAGATTTAGTTTCTGAATCAAACACGCCACCGGCCGCCAATCCTCCGACGATTACAGCGACTAGAAGTGCAATGATGATAAATATCAGAGGGATCATGCATCGCTTATTCTTGTACCAAGGCTTGGCCACCTTTTTAGGCGAGGAATTCACTTGCCCATGCTCAGCGGTTGCACTCATGCTGCGCGATACAACCTCTTGCTCAGCGGTTGCATTTACACTCATGCTGCCCGATATGATCTTTTATTGATTGTGATAGCTTAGCAATCACTTTCGGTAAAAGTGAGTATCAGATCTAGAAGTTCAGACAATATATCTCATGTTTGTGAAATCCAAACTCTAAACATAAATATACTCTCTAAATTTCAGCCTAAAATAATTGCTACTACATATCTAATTTGATGTTCTTTTTCGTCCAGACGTCCACCAGCCCCCAGGGATTCAACAGAGACTCTGGTCATCTGGTGTCTGAGGCCTGGGCTAATTCTCTGGGAGTCTGGGAGTCTGGGTGTTGGCCAACGGGTGCAGTTCGCACACAAGAAGTGGCATTATTATTAAAATTGATGTAGATTATTGAGAAAAAAAATTAGTAATTATCAAATGCCGTATGCCGTCGGCGTCATAGTAGCCCCGGGCGGCCAGCCCCAGACCCCGAGATTCTCATTCAAGCAACAGCCACCGCCTTCAAATTCAAAACAATATATGCACGATGCGAGAGAGTTGCGAATTGATAGTTGATACTGAGTGGGAGTAAATTCAGAATATTCATCGAAATTATTATAAAATATTATTCCGTAGTGCTGAATCGCTGATACTTTGACCAGTAAGCAAAAAGAAAGGGTATCCAGGTTAACATCCAATAGAATTTATAGAATAAAATGTGCTTTCATGAAATTTTGAAAATTTTGTTCCACTGTCCACACTCGGCAGACTCCTCAGACCGGGTCTTAACTATAATAGTTTTCACGTTATAGGCGAGCGACATAGCTTGTCAGCCAATAATATGCACGATTAAATTTAAAAAAATAATCGTGTCCCACTTTTGAAAACTTCCAGAGACAAAATTTGTCGCTTGTAATAGTTGATTTCGTTATAGTTTTACGTTATAGTCGGAATCTTTACGTAAACTTCAAAAATTACCAAGAAAATGTAAATTACCGTCGATATCCCCATCAATCTAATTGGATACACGAAAGCCCGCACAAAATGTTCGATTGGATGCAAGCAGGTTTGCTACAAAGAAGCGGTTGAACGGTCAGGCGGTTACGATGCCTCTTTTGAATGCTGCTGTTGATAACAGTGTATATTTCTTGTATGCTTGTTAATTATGTAATAGACCTAGCTAAACGCAGCAATATAATAGAACGTCTCTCTTTCGTGTGATATACTTTACTTCAAGTACATCTAAAAAAAATATGTCAACGTCTGTTCCGCAGGGTACGTACGATGCGCGAAAGCATAATACAAGACAGATCAAACCTGGGAATTACGATCTTTGGCTGCCCCTTTATAGGCCAAATTTAAACAGAAGTATGAGTCCTATACCTGTGCACCCTGACTATTTAGGATTCTCGTATTGTCAACAAAGATATGATGGCGCGTCTCCCTCAGTTATCAATCAACGTCAACCACCACAGTTCATCCAGCCTAATTCAAGGTTCGAAATGCCGGAAGCTACTATGCATGCACATGCGAAAGCGGTTCGATCACTAGATACTGAGCACATTGCTACAGAGAATCGTAAAAATAGGAAGCGTGTTGACTCTTCCACCACACACAATTTGAATTCACACATTAGTGAGCATAGTTCAAATATTCACATTCAAGATCACATTCAAGAAGTAACGTTATGAGCTTAGCTGGAATGTATGTATTTATGTTTTAGCCTAGCAAACTAGTCTTTTTTTAATATTTTTAAAAAGAGAATATCATTTGTAAATGTAATAAAAGACATGACGTCCGGGCTTGTCGTCATGGCGAAGTAGTTGCTGACGGAGCTGTCAAACCAGCCCAGTAAATATTTTAATTTCGTTAGACTATATGTAGGTCGAGAGTCGAGACTCGAGACTCGAGGCTCGAGACCTAATCTCATTACGTTATGGGGGTACGGAATAGAAGTTGAACGTAAAAGCATACTTATTCAATTTATAAACGTTATAACGGTTATATTTTATAGGACTGGTTCGTATCATGAAATCGGTACGCACTTAAATCTAAACTCATTACGTTATGGGGGTACGGAATTGAAGTTGAACGTAAACTCATATTTATTCAATTTCAAAACGTTTTAACGGGGTATAAGGTGATCGGAAAGGCCTACCCAGGTTCTTTTTATTGGACTGGTTCGTATGGTGAAATCGGTACACACCTTAAAAAAAGGGTTAGTCGAGACTTTGACAGTCGAGGATTCGAGACTCGAGAGTCGAGACAGAGACTCTCGAGACTCGAAAGTGGAGAGTATACGAGACTCGAGACTCACGCGAGGGAGTAATGTTGGCATTTTCGGGGTATGGTGCGGGGGCTTCACCCAATTTGAACATTTCAAATGGATAATTCTGTATGAAAAGTTGATAACAACACGCGAGTATAGAAATATTATCGCCGACAGTCCGTTTGAAGAAAGAGGGGTGCGGTATTTAAGTATTTACTCTGTCCACTGTCCAGAAGGACCTCCCAATAATGGGCTAGGTGCATCCTCGATGGATACGACCGTTGAATGGAACCCGACAAGTGATCAATACGATGACTACTATATAATACGACAGCAACGAAAAAAAATTGATGACGGTATCAAGAAGAAAGCCAACGTTCGGTACTCCTGGGGCTGGGGCGCCTTATTTACAGTACATACATGAATGGTGCTTTACTAAAATTTACGCTGAACGAAACGGTGCAAGTAGGAATGTAATACTGTCTCATCGTGCTAGTATACGTGGTAGTGTTCTAGAGTACAAGTTTAAGTGGCAATAGATTTCTGTGTTAGTTCCGTAGCGTAGTTCGTCAGGATCAGACGGCCGTTGATGTGTAATATAGTTTGGATTAGTTCAATGGAGGCTGACACTTATTAGGAATGAGAGGCGCCCACGTATAGAGCACAGCGAAATTCAACGTATGTATATATGTAGTATCTCTTATGAAATAAATAAAAACATATCTATTATTGCCCATATTTATACACACTACTACATAAACTTCCATGTTAAACTGTGCATGAGAACACGCACGTTCATTCATGCATTAATACAGACATTCATTCATGCGTTATTACAGGCATACTTAAAATTCATACATGAATATACACGTATACACATACATACATACATTAATTAATAAATCAGTATGTATACACATACATACATACATAATTTAATGAATATATACATACCAACATGCAAACAGACACTCATGCATACAGGAACACACACAAACGTACATACTTCCATACATACATATACACGTACATACAGACATGATAAATAACTAAATTCATCCATAAATACATGCATAAAAGCAACTATATATTCATACACACACACACACACACATATATATATATATAATGTTTGTGAATATATGTATGTATGTATGTATGT